AAACGCATGAAACTCTTCATCAATTGCATTTCATAACTTGAACTAAAAACGTAATTTAAACTAATTTATAAAATGTATTTATATATGTATTATATATTATATATATATATAAAAATATTTTATAAAATGTATTTTTGTTGTAGGGGAAGTGGGGGCATAACCGCATATGGAGGCACAACCGTTTTTTAACATTTCTCTTCAAAAAATGTTTTCTAATATGGAAAAAAACATACCACACGTTAGTAAAGCATTTTCCTTCATTTTGCATATGTCAAAAAGAGTGACTGTTAAGTTTCTGAGAAGTTGTGAATAATAATGTTCATTTTCATAAAAATATTATATTTACATCATATTTTTCCTGACTTTTATTTTGAGAATTAAGCAATATTTGATTTTAGTGTTAAAGATATATGTTATCAGCATTATTTCATGAAGTGAAAGCCATTTTTGATAATACCATAATCTAATAATTAAGCTATGAAACTCAATTCTTCTAAAAAACTCTCTTCTTGGGCAGAACTCTCTTCTGGGGCAAAACTCAAAATGTAAATACAAAAAATGCCTGCACAGTATGCAAACACGCAACAAAGTCATCAAATAATCTGAGCTGTGAAAATTGTAAAAAAAATGTACCATGAAAGGTGTAGCCCCATCGATTTTTGTGAGGGTGCGGTTGTGCCTCACAATGGGGGCAAACCGGTTTTTTTCATGAAGTGTAATTTTTGCGTAATAACATTTTCAAAACCCGTTTAATTTTATACTTAAATGCATCAATTTAAAGCTTAATGATGTGGTTATTGAAATAAACTTCTAAAAAAACACATTTCGTTTTTATTTTTGTATAACATTAATCCAAACGTTATGGGGGCGGTTATGCCCCCACTTCCCCTAAATATAAATATTAAATATATGTTGTAGAATATTTGTCAATTTTAAGCAAAATATCTTGCTTAAAAAGTTTTTTTTATGACCAAAATAAATAATAAAATTTATAAGAATAACCATTTTAGGTTGGCAAACAAATCTACAAACCTTATATATATAAGAGAACTAGTCTATTTTTTGCTTTGACTGATTTCCATTTAAAAAAAATAGATTTACGCTTTCTTGATAATTAAGATATTAAATAGCTAAAATAAATTTTAAAAGCCAAATCTTGGCTACTTTTTAATTCACCAAAAATTTGGTGATATTTTTTTAGCAATGTTTTATTCTTAACAAAAAGAAAAAAAAAATACAAAAAACAAATACATGATATTATGATATAACCTTTATGATATAATATAAAAATATAATTTATGATATATTATAATAATGATAATTTATAATAAAGATAACTTTATGATATAATACCATTATGATACCTTTATGATATATAACCATTATTATATTATAATATAAAGCGTGTACACGAAATAAATATGAAAGAATAAGTACGTCATTTTTTTTCAGTGGTTATATTAAAATCTTTTTAACTGTTTTGTATTTTGATTACAACGTGTTGTGGTTTCAAAAAAACTTATTAGTTTTTTGAGTTAACTTAAAATTAGTTTTTAAAATGACAAAAGAAGAAGACATAAGAGAAAAAATTAGGCACTAATATTTGGAAAATCCCAATAGTAGCTACAATTCGATAGCAAAAGCGTTGCAAATACATCCATACACCGTTAGTCGTGTAATCCAACGTTTTCCTCAAACAAAATCAATCAAAGGTAAATCTGGTGGTGGAGGAAAGAAGTCTTTTAAAGATAAAAAACTAGTTAGAAAACTGGTTAACAGTTTTAAGACTAACCCAAGCCTTTCACTAAAGGAGCGCGCAAACATTTATGGACTTTCTCATAGTTTTGTTGTAAAAGTTCGAAATAAACATGGTTTTCATTCTTTCAAAGCACGAAAAGTGCCCAACCGATCTGAAACTCAACAAAAAAGTGCAAAAACCCGCTGCAGAAAGTTGTATGACAATTTTATTTCTAAAAATTTCTGTATTATTGAAGACGATGAAACTTATATCAAGTACGATCATCAGCAAATTCCTGGTGCCGTCTATTATATTGCTAAATATAGAGGAAAAGCAGATAAGAAATTTAAATACATAAAACACGACAAGTTTGCTAAAAAAGTCTTGATTTGGCAAGCTATTTGCAGTTGTGGCAAAAAATCAGCACCTTATATTTCTCAGCCCACACTTTCGGGTCAAATATATGTTAAAGAGTGTTTTAAACGCCTTTTACCTCTCATTAAATCACACGATAAGAGACCTGTGTTCTGGCCAGACTTAGCTTCAATTCATTATTGTAAACTAGCTTTGGAATGGTTAGTAAGTTAGTAGTTAAACTGTAACTGGACGAATTCAGCGAGTGTGGTTTATCACACTTTGACATCATTAATCCACATATATATTTAAAATGTTTAGTTAAAACTTCTTTGATTTGGCGTTATACTCATCTAATCTATTCTTAAATTGATTGACAGTTTTTGAAGTAATAACAGTTTCTGGTAAAGCGTTCCATAAATTGGCCGTACGATTTAATAAAAAATGATGCCAAGGTAAATAGTTCACAATTTCTCTTTCATATTTAAGATTGTGACCTCGAGTAATTGAATCAATTTTAAGCTTCGGTTCATTAATTAAATCAAATTCCTCAAATCTATTAAGTAATTTAAACACTTGTATTAAATCCCCACGTTCCCTCCTTGTTTTCAATGTAGATATATCTAATATTTCCAATCTCTTTTCATAATTAATTTTCCTTAATGATGGAACTAATCTAGTCATCCTGTGTTGAACTTTTTCCAAAAGTGATATGTCTCCTTTAAAATAAGGTGACCAAACAGGTACTGCAAACTCAATAAGAGGTCTAATAAATACCTTATACAATGTTTTAACCAATTTTGCATCAATTCGTGAAAATGTCATCTTTAACATACCCATCATTGAATTTGCTTTAGAAGTACTTGATATAATTTGTTTTTTCCATTTCAAGTTTGTTGAAAAATATACACTTAATTCTCTCTCGCATTCAGAATCTTTCAGTTCAACACCATTTAAAGTATATTTCAATCGCGGATTATTTATACCATAATGCATTATAACACATTTACTAGAATAAAAACCCAAGAGCCACTTTTTGGACCATTCCTCTGCACTATCCAGATCTTTTTGCAAGGTATTTTCCACATTTATTTCATTCACTTTTGAAAGAATTTTTGTATCATCTGCATAGAATTCTGACTTATTTTTAAATATATTTGATATATCATTAATAAAAGTAACAAATAATAAGGGCCCTATTATGGATCCTTGCGGAACACCACTGAAAACTTTGTGCCATGAAGAAAACCTTGGATAACTCTTTGGATTCTGTTTTTTAAAAAAGCTTCAATCCATTTTAATAATAAACTACTAATTCCATATGAAAATAGTTTAATCAATAGTCTTTTGTGAGCAACAGAATCAAAAGCTTTAACAAAATCTAAAAGTGCTTCATCTACCGAAATACCAATCGATAAATTAAATGAAATATAATCCAACGCCTCTAATAAGTTTGTTGTACAAGACTTCTCTTTAACAAAACCATGTTGTGACTTCGATATTAATTTATATTTCATTAAATATGATTGTATATAGTTTCTGACTATACCTTCCATAATTTTACAAGTAATTGACGTTAATGACACTGGTCTATAATTTGCAGCTTCTAATTTATCTCCCTTTTTGAATAGTGGTGTAATATTTGCTGCTCTCCATTGAGTTGGTAGTTCACTTTTAACAAAAGATTCTATAAAAACTAAAGTTAATGGCAATGCTACGGAAGCAGCACAATTTTTCAAAATCAACGGATGTATAGAATCAACTCCATATGTTTTATTGATATCAACATGTTTCAATCTACTTAAAACATCAAAATAATCTATATTAACTGCACCAATAATAATATCCCCTAAATTCTCGATTTGTGGAAGCTCTTCTGTAGAATTTTCGATGGTAAACACATCTTGAAATTGTTTATTTAAAATTTCAACAATTTCATTTTGATCATTTGTTACACAACCAGTTTGATCTCTTAATGCTTTAATTACTTATTTAATCGTTTTTTGACTATTCACATATTTATATAGCAGTTTCAGATTTACCTTTGGTTTTTCAACAAGATCATTTTCATAGTTACATCTTGCTTTACGCGATTCTATTTTCACAGTATTTTGCAAATATTTTTATATTTCATTACTTTATCCAAATCTTTCCAGTTCGATGATAAATTTTGATAACGCAAATTTTGTTTTGAACGTACTAGAAGGCTTACTTCATCAGTAAACCATGGATTATTTTTTCTTTTCTTTGGTATAAAAATAATAATGTGAAATTTGTGCCTAAAACAGAAAATCGTACAAACTGCCCAGAACTAAGAGTTATTGAAAAGTATTGGGCCATCATTAAAAGAAAAATGAAAAAAACAAAAAAACTTTGCAGAAATAATAAAGATATTAAAATATCATTTAAAAAAGCATCAAATGGCTTCAATTCTTATTCTGTGCACAAGCTTATGGGTACCACCAAAGCAAAAGTTTGAAATTTTATTAGATTCCCACAGGAATAATTTGATTTTTTTTTATATTTGATCTTCTTATATTATTGTATTAAAGTTATTACTTGGTTAGAAATAAAAATTGAAGAGCACTTTTTTTTAGTTATTTTTCTACTTTCACATTTATTTCGTGTACGCGCTTTAATATAACGATAGTTATGCTAATTAGGAACTTTTTAAGACATAAATATGAAAACAAATGTATTATGTTGTTTTAAAAAAAAATTATAGATATATGCTGTATAAAATATATACAGCATATATCTATAATTTTTTTTTATACAGTATACATAAAATAGTTCTTGAAAAAAAGTATCATTTAAACCTGCCAGTTTAAATAATACTTTTTTCCAGATATTCAATTTTTGCCATAATAGATTAAAACAAAAAAAAAATAAAATAATGAAAACTTACTTCGCTCTTAGCAAGTAAATCTTGATTTTTGGAAGGTTGCTGCTGACTTACAATTACACCATTTTGTTTTAAAGCACTTTTTATTTCATTGATTTCATTTTTTATAACTTCCAAATCACCATTGCTATCATGTATTGGATTTTTGACATCATTACAGGTAGAAAAGACGTCATTAAAGTTACCAGATGACTTGTGAACGCTGTGCATTTTTTCAATAATATCTTTTATTTCTGTGTTATCTAAATTACCAAAACGTGACTTATGATCAGATTTGATTTCTTCTTGTATTTTTAATACCTCGATAGTAAACTTGTCATTAATTGAATTAAGTTTTTTTGTCAACTTATCATCATCTTGTAATTCTGCAACAATAGTTTCTAGTTGTTTTATCTTTAATTCTGTACCATCATTTATTTTGTTTAGTTTTTTTGTCCAATTATCATTTTCATGCATTTCTGCAATTTGAGTTTCTAAATGCTTAATTTTAAATTCTGTATTTTCATTTATTTGGTTAATTTGAGTATGAAGATCATTTAAAGAACCTTCTTTTCGAGTTTGCTCCAGAACTTCCTTCATCAAAGAAAACAACTTATCAACACCTTCTTCGACCACCTGTAACCTTCTACTTGTTTTTATTGTGTTCCAAGTAAGACATAATGCTCCATCATTGTTGTTTAAATTCTGATTTACATTTTGACTTAAATTTGAATTTTGAGAACTTAAAAAATTATTGTCATTTGTTAAGTTTTTTTTGTTTAACATAATACTTTCTTCAATGTTGAAAATTTCATTATTTGAAGGAAAAAAATCAAACATACTTGAGCCTTTCTCCAGTTTATTAATTCTATTCTCCAATAATTTCTGGTTTTCTAATAATCTAAAAAAAAATAAAAAATAAAAATCAAAAGTAAGCCTAAAATACTTCATCAAAAGTTAGTATAAACATAGAAAAGGAAGCTTATAAGAAATGTCTTATGAAGTAATGAAAAATGCACTGAAATGTAAATCATATAGAGAAATATAGTTGCTAGATCGCAAGATAATTGAAGAAAAGATTAAAAAATTTAAAACTAAAAGTCAGTGATATTAATGATCGCAACTCATATTTATAGAAGAACATAAAAATATAAACTATAGAGAAAAAAATGTTAAGCAATGTTTAGTTTTTTATCACCTATTACTATTATTCTTACAATTTGTACAATTTGATTAATAACCTGACCCTAAACAAAATAACCTAACCCTAACCAAAACCTATCATTACACAAATAAGTTGATTTATGTGATAAATTTAATATTTTTCTAATTTCTTAGAAAATTTTTTTTTTTCTTTGCTTACATTATATTGTAAGCTTACATTACAAATTGCACAATCTTTATACCACAAATATAAAAAAATGTAATCAGAGACTAGGAATTGTTAATGCTTTGGATTATAATTACTTTATATTATAATTACAATGATTCCCACAAAGCATTTAAATATCTTTTATTACAACTTAAAATCAATTTTATAGCTTAGCAAAGATACCATTTCTTTTGTTTATACTAAACAATACTTAAATAAAAATCAAACCAAAGATTATACTTCATATTTGGGAAAAAGAAAAAAAAGATAAGTGAAATCATCTTGAACATAAAGATAAACCATGATCTATCAGGTTGTATAGCGTTAGTAGTAATTAAAAGAGATAGATGTTGGTTAAGTCAGGTTCAACCATTTTGATTTACTTTTACAATGTTAAACAACGCCGAAGTGGTTAAAACCTTTTTGAAATTAATGAAGTATGTTTCTACTTTAAAAAAATAAATTATATCTTTTTAATTCTATTGTACATATTATTATTGATGCAAAACAAAAAATCTCTAAAGATCATCATGAATCATGATCAATCAACACTGGATTGTTACATGTCTAAAAAAATAACAGTGCTTTTTTTGAAATTTGAGTATGCATTTTTTCCAAAAAAAAGCACTTTTTTAAAACTCTTTAACAGAAAAAAATTTGTTATTAGTATATACAACTATTATAAACAAATGTATTTGAAACTTAAAAGAAAGACAAAAAGGAACATTATATTCATATAATGCTATAAAGTATTGCAAATTAAAAGTGCATAGAACATATACCTTTTTATGTCATCAACAAAATATTCTTTAAAGCCATTAAAATTTGTCTAAAATAAAATGAGATTTGAAGTAAACAAATATAAAATTTTTTTTGCATTAAATAGCAAGGTCAAAATTAGAAAAAAAAACTATAATTGTGTGTGTTGAATTGAAACTTTTAGATGACTAATCTCAAGTGAGCCCAAATAAACACCTGTAGTTGAGTATAATAGCTTTAACTAAAAACATTAATAATTTTCCTTGTGACCTTATTTTGGAAAAATTCGTTTTTATTCAATTAGATGTGCCAACCAATTTAAGAGCAAAATTCTATAACTGGTCTCAAAAAAGCACTCACATAATTCCCATCCCATCATCATAGGATTCCATCATAGATAACATCATAGGATAGTTTTAAAGCAAATTAAGATTTTGCTCTACCATTTTCTTGATGGGTGACTGTAGCAAGATGTTTTTTATTGGAAGTAATCATTATGATTTAAAGATCTTATGATTAAAAAGACCAAGCTAAAATGTTATTACACTTCAGTTGTTACACAGAAGTCACAGATGTATTTGGCAACAGGTGAATCTTATTTAAATATACAAGTTGTGCAAACAAGTTAAATAACTGAAAATGCTAATAAGATTTAAACTCTAATTTAACTTGCCAGTATAGATAATTATAAAAAAACAAATATATTCTATGAGTGATAATGGAATTGCCTTAATTGATTCAAAAAACACTAATCACAATTTACCAATAAACACCCTTGTTTGTGTGCACTCCTAAACAATTTAATTAAGGTATCACATGCACAAAACTTTATAAAAAAGAACATTTAAAGAAAGACCACAAAAATCAGTGTATTGATGTTATCAAACTATTTTATTATCTTTTATAATATTATAAAAGATAATAAAATAGTTTGATAACATCAATACACTGATTTTTGTGGTCTTTCTTTAAATGTTCTTTTTTTTATATTTATAAGATTACAGTTAGTAATACAGAAATCATAAAGACTTTTATTTGTACAATTCTATTTCAATACAATTACTTTCAATACTATTATTAACTACAAAAAAGTTCTTCAAACCTTTGTTATTTGTTTATATCAATAAACCGCTTGTAAGTTGGCATTAAATACCACAGTTTAAATTACTCCATGTTCTGACTAACCCTGGACTCTCTTACCCTGTGAAACATTGTTAACAATACAAATTGGATCAGATATTGAACTTCTAGTTTTAACTTATTGAAATCTATCTGTAAGAAATGGTATCATTGACTTGTTGAACTCTATCAGTAAGAGATCCAATAAAAAAGATTATGCCATTTATTAAACAATGAAAGTTTAATTGTTAGTTTTTAATGTACTACAAACTCTTTATGGAAGTCTATACAACATTTGTTACAAGAATATTATTGAGTAAGAATGTTTAAGAGATACTTTAATCGCTAATAGATTCTAAATAATTTGTGCAAGTAGAATGTATCCTGATGTATGTCACAACTTTTAAAAAAGATTTGTTGCTTTTAAAATAGATTTTTGTTTTGTTTTTATTTTTAAGGACAACAACAAATAATGGTTCTTTATTTGTTTTTATTTTGATCAATCACTAAATTACTTAAATTAGTAAACTTGAATTCTATTAATTTTTAATTATTAGAGCACTTTAATACTTTCGATGCATTATTATCAGAAATCATAAAACTATTTTCTTGCTTCCCACTTATGTTTTCAAAGCACAGCAATATGTAAAACTGATTTTTTTTTTAATTCTTGCCCAAGGTATTAAGTGAGACGAGCTTGCATGATATTTATGTGTGTGTGCACGATATGTATATATATATATATATATATATATATATATATATATATATATATATATATATATATATATATATATATATATATATATATATATATATATATATATATATATATATATATATATATATATACTTTAAATCAGTTTTGTTGTTTTATTGCTAAAATTTTGTTCCATAAAATCAAAATAATATTAATAAGTTCTGAAGGACAATTTCACTTTTATCGCTTCGATTTACTACTATTATTACTACTATAAGTCCTGAAGGACAAAACAATATTGCCTAATGTTGGATATAGCTCCTCCACTTTTTATTTTGTTGAGCGCAATGATACATGGAATGTATCATTGCTGTTTACGTAATGCTGGTTCACTACTTTGTAGTTTGAGCAATTTGACATGACATAACAAATCTTTTATATTGCTTTGAACCAGTTTTATTATATTATTGTTACAATTTGGTCCAATAAAATCAGAACATTATTGATAAGTACTGAAGGACAAAGCAATTTCACTTTTATTGCTTCCATTTACTGTTATTATTACTAATATATACAGACAAAAAAGCAAAAAGCTTATGCTACTTATACATTTCTAACACATAGTAGTATTAAACAATAATATGAAAAAGTAAAATTAATTAGATAAAACCTACCTTATCACTGTTATTCTCACTTTCAACTTTACAGTTCTGGTCATCTGTGATCCCTGAGATTTCTATTATATCCAGAGAACTTTTACTATTAACATGGACTATTTTCAAAATTTCAACCAGTAAAATTCGTAGATACTTGAAGTTAACTACTTCAACATCGGGACCATGTAAAGCTAAATCTACAAGTTTACTGAGTGGACCTTCAGTAGTCAGAGCCATATTTAACTTTTTAACTGTTTGAAAAGTATATAATTTATACAAAACTTTATCATACTTTTAAATAGAAAAGGTGAAGAGTTAAAGACTTTTAATAGACTTGAGTTAGTCACTTAAGAAAGGTTATTTACTTAAAATTATTCACTTCACTAACTTAAATACTAACTTAAGTCTTTTAAAACATTTAAAATAATTTATACTTTATATTGAGTTACCATTTATACCTCCCTATTGACATTGATTACATATAAAAAAGTCAAAACATTTAAAGTTCGATTTTAAATTTTTTGTTCATTATTTATACTATTGATTTGAACAAAGTTATTACAGTAGTTTAAGACGTTTAAAATTTTTTTTTCTTTAAATAAGGTTTGAACAGCTTCAATTATATATGTTTTAATTAGTTGACTTAAATTCTATTAATTTTTAATTATTGGAGTACTTTTATACTTTCGATGCATCATTTTCAGAAATCATACAAAAGTTTTGAAATAAAGAGATGGAAGGATTCTTTCGCAATAAATTCTTTAAAGAGTTAAGTATTAGAAATTGAACTGAAGAATAATAGATTATATCTATAGAGAATTGATTTGTATTCATTTTTCTTTTGTTATTTTATTTGTTATTCATTTTACTTAGTTATTCATATAGATTATATCTCCTAATAGAGGATATTAGATTTACCTTTGTTATTTATACTATTGAAGTATGTTTTACCCATTATTTATGCATTAAACGAATAGATTATTTTAAAAGTGAAACAGAGGTATATAAAAGGCTTATGAATTAAACCTCAACTTTTTTAATAAACCAGCTATTTACATTGCATTATTAGTTTGACTTTTTAATTTTATTTTTGCTAAAACCCTGTGAGCCATTTTTTGTGATCCAAACATGGGTTGTTTAAATAACAAAAAACAGTTCAAATTAGAAATGCCTAAATAATGAACCCAGCATATAATATAATTATAATTACTTAATGTTTTAAAAACTAATTTAATTAGTAATTATTATTTGATAAATTATTCCTGATACTTATGATAACAATATGTGTGTAACATACATATTATTATCATAAACATCATAAATATGTTTTAATTCATTACTTCATTCTTTAATAAAATTGTGCATTTAATACAAATATATAAAGTAAACAAATAGAAATTCCAAACTACTTAGGAACACTTTTAATCCTAATTTATATCAGTGGTTTAAAAAATAAATCAAATATACGATATTCCACTTTAATTATACATAGTACAAAAGTTTTGTTGTATCAAGTTTTCAGCATCTGATTGTTAATGATAGAAATTAAGATCTGTAAAAAAGGATTATCTTTAAGAATAATCGATGTAGTAAATAAATATCAAATGCACATTAATAATGTGCATTTGTAATCATCAAATGCACATTAATGTAAACATTAAATGCACATTAATATATTAATCAAATGCACATCAAATGCACATTAGTATAAACATCAAATGCACATTAATAATGTGCATTAATAATGTGCATTAATGACATTAATTATTAATGACATCATTAATGTCATTAACGTAAGGCAATACCATTACATGTACTGGATGAAATCATATGGTGACTATATTATTTTATCCAATGATATTTCATATGCTTATTTATTATTTTATACTATATCTTTGAAAACGAAATTAGTTAGCATAATAAAGTCTTTTAAGTACATTAATAGTGTTCTTGCAAAACTGTTTTTTGAAAAATAATATTCCAAACATCGCCGTGAGTAAATATTATGCGATTACCCATTTATAGCCGTAGTAACTCTTTTTCAAATTATGCGCTAGTTTCCGAACGAGAACTAAAGAAAAACATTTCATCGAGATTTTCATTTATAACCTTAATTCATTTATAACCTCAACTGATTAAGCCTTAAAAACCTTAATTAATAATCTTCATTTATAACCTTAATTGCTCTTTACATTTATAACTGTAACTGCAAATATAAAAGTTTAGATTCAGTCTTACAATTTCCACGAGGTGATAAGACTTAGTTTAAAATCACCAGAGCATATACATTTGGATTGCAACATTGTTTTTGTGGCAGTATTATAAAAATTTTCTGGAAGTTTTTCTTTATTTGTTATTTAGGTGCCCGAAGAAGACCTAACGGTCTTGTCACAGAGCACCGTGGAAGTTCAATTTAACCAAGAAGTTCACGCCTTCTTCCTTACCGTGACGCGAAATACGTTTAAAGCTCGTTTCAAATCTGGATCTCAAATAGCATTTTAAACGTCGTTTCTCAATTTCTAATTGTACTTTTAAGTGAACTTTCTGGGAAGTGCTATCTGGTAGAGGTCTGATTAGTTTTGCCTCTATAATTAAAAAATTTTTTTTTTCGTAATTACAACAATATTTTCTGGAATAATGTCGTTGCACATAAAATATAGTAACACGGAAGCATTAAGAGGATTATAAAGACAACATTCAACAGAAAAGAACGGTCTAGCCATTATTGTTTATTAGCTTTGCTGCAATAAATAAAAAATCCCTTTACTCTAAAAAAAAAATGAAATTATATAACTGAATCTATTCAAACAAATATAATAAACAATAAAATTTCAGATAAAGTGGACAGAAAATAAATCAAGTTAATTCTATTAAGTATCTTGAAATCAAGTTAGACTCTAATTTTATTTTTTGCATCTTCTTATAATTTGACTAATAATTCAAACAGATTGAACACATGTCACATGTAAGCTAAAATCTGCCATTATGTTTTCTATATGATTTGAATCATATCGATAGGTTTTGATATGATTTTTTCATGTAAGAGTTTCATAAATGAAAACACCTACAAAATGTATAACTTTTTATTGTTCTGATTGAATATCGTCAACATATGCTAGAGACATATCATTTGGATAAAGATATGTTTTAGGTTTTGGATGAAATAGAGTCCATATATTTTTTTTCTATTTTAATTGATAGCTTATTTGATTTTTGAAATTTTAAATAGCTTCATGTTTATGTCATTAAAAAGTGCTATGATATTTTTAGTACTCAGATAAACTTGTGTCACCAGCAAATATTACTGTCATGAAATTTGAGGTATTATAAAGATCATTAATATATTTAAGAAAAAAAAGTAGTCCTAGCACAGATCCTTGGTGGACATCACATTTTATATCAAGTAAATGTTTAGAGGAGGATATATCATATCCACATAAACTTGTTCACGATTGCTTATTTTGCTTTTATTAATTTTAAAAAATTACCACTGATTCTGTAAGTTTTAAGTTTTTACAAGAAAATTGTATCCAATGTTTTGATTAATCAATGAAAACTTAAAAAAGTAGTTTTAGCATTTTATAAGTAAATTTTTTAATGGAAACTTTTAACTTATTTAATATAGGAACGAGTAAAGTTAACTATAGTGTTAATTATAATTGAAACATTTTTTTGTTTTCACAAAATATTGATATGTTTTTATTACCTTTTCTTTTTGTGTATATTATGTAAATGATACCATGGGGATGATAAGACTTTTGCCTTCTGCCTGCTCCTGTCATATCTTAACTCAAATAGAATATATTGTAAATAATTTATTATTATTATGACGAAAAAATATATATATATATATAAAAAAAAACTATATTAAATTTGATTTATTTTTAGATATAGCCCAAATTGAAAGTAGCCTGTAACAATTAGAAATAAGCAGTTTATAAGTGAGAGTTACTCTTGCAGTACCAGCTTCTTCCTTAAACAAAAAATTATCATCAAATTAAGCAAGAAGAATCGTAGTTGTTATAATTAGTCTATGTTTGTTCTCTCTCTCTCTCTCTCTCTCTCTCTCTCTCTCTCTCCTCGTGAATATCTTTGCTCAATATATATACATTTGCAAATACCCCCAAATGTATAATAAAAATTATAAACGTTATATACAATATAATATATGGCGCACCGACAACTTTCCTTCTGACGCAACACAATAATAGTTTATATATAATACAATTATTTACACTAATTACAACACCCCTTAATCTCAGATCACAAAGCCCACATACTTATTCGGAAATTTCCGCACTCACGTCAATTTTTTAAGATTCAAGTTGTCCGCAATGGGTTTACCGATTCTCTAGTACACAAGTCAGCTGTAATGGGAGCAGGACGGACGTCTGAAATGTGTCTCGGTAGTCCACTTTCTGTCGTTTTGGCAAAAATGAGAAAAAATTGCAAGGAAACGAAATTGTTTCCTCACCGTTTTTTCTGGTAGCCACTTTATATCTATATACCATCTTTAACGGATCTTTACCACTTCCGGCTACCATACTCTTGATCGTGCGATGATGTCGTTTAACAATTCAATTTCTAGAAGGCCTTTAAGCGCAACAAAACAGCATGGACACTCCCCATTCTGCGCATAGTTCACCAAAAGCGAAAAGGTTTGCTGTTGTCAAGTAGAAATTGCCATGAAGGTCCTCTTTTTTGGAATATTTCTTCTAAATGGAAGCACACTGTTGTCTCTTTCTCGTTCAGTAGGTTTCTCCAAATTGCAAACTTGCTCCTTTAGCCACAGTCAATAATAAAAAAAACGAATCTCTGATTTATAGTGGGTTAGATCAATAGCTAAACGATGCCAGCTCTTTCCAACTTCAAGATTTCCTTCTTTCAATCTAACTGGAGCAGAATCTACTGATAAACATCTTTCCCAATTTTTTGACGACTGATTCAACGTCTTTTCGATAAACTTTCTCTTTCGGGTATATCTGTTTAATCAGATAAATGGATCGATTGAATTAAAAGTAATGAAGATTATGAAATGATTTTACATCAGGTGGTATAACACTTGCTGTCATTGCAGAATGATTTGAATGCAGCTAGTTCTGTGGTACTCTTGTAAGAGTTTTGGCTATATTTTCTGCTGACTTTGCAGTACATGCACACGACCACCGACAAGTTTTTCCGGCAACTTTGAACCCAAGCCAAATTTTTATAAGAGCTCTTGAACCCTGCAACTTGAAACTATGTTATTATTAATGAAGATGTTATCAATAAATGAATCCGTCTCAGACTCGACAACTTTGTTTAAAGACAATACCTTTCTTAAGATTATATTAATTATTCTGGACGCCACATTCAAACCAAAACCCAGTCTTGTTAGACTGTAACGCTGCTCTTTATATCTGCACTATGACTGGATACAAAGTCATTCAGCTATAGGTCGATCACCGGTTGTACTTTTAGTTTGTCTTGTTAAATTACTGCCATCAACGGAATGATGCCATTACATCTCTTTTCAAATGGTTTCAGCCATTCCTGTGCTACCCATTATCATGTTTTTATTGCGTACTCACTTTTAACACCTTCAGAGATAATTTGGAATTTTGTTTGTTGAAGTTAGTACTTCCAGCAGCCATTTTCAAAACACACTCCGACAGCCATTTTTGAATTCTGCTACGAGGTCTTTATCAAAGAGTTTTTGAATAATAGGCAAGGACACTTCAAACAATGTAGGCAACCAAACATTCCTAACCAACGTTGGTATTATTTATAGAAAGATCAACAATAATCTGGTGTTTTACTTCAATTGACTTTCCGTTTATTATTCCAACCGTTTCTCTTGCTGGTTTGACATTTTTTAAGTTTACAATATCACGACTTAGAATTAAATTGGAGTATTCAGTGTCCAACAATGGTTTTATTTTCCTTCCATTGACACATACGCGTTATAGTCTTTTTTCCGCGTTCTTGAGGGACCTGTCTTGCACTAATAGCAACACGATCCACGCAACTAACAAAACATGATTCATTGCAAAGTAAGATTACCAAATTTCTTGATTTTACAGCAACCTAGTACAGCGACATGTTTTCTTGCTTCTTCAGATAATCCTAGAATAAATGCACACCATATCCACTCTTCACTTCGCGAGATTATATTAACTTGCTGAGCCTTGAAAATTCTGCTAGATATACGTCGATAGACTCGTTCTCTTTAGACGGCGATTTTTAAACTCTTTGTATGCTGTTAGCGGAGAAGCAGAGAAGGCAGTAATCAGTGCATTTTCACTTTATGGCAGTCTTCTTTTATCTCATTGCAGAGGTATTGATAAATAGCAAACGCCCAGCCAGAAATAAATAAGGGGAGTACCACATGCAACTCGTCAACGTTTTGAAGTTTTGCTACCAGTTGCAATTGCAGTGTCCGTTAGGGTGTGTCATACTTTTTGAAAATTGAATTTTGCTTTGAATAACTAAAAAAAAGGTGAGATTTATTTATTATTATTTTTTTTTTAAGTTGATTAAGGTGCCCCCATGAAGTCTTTACGGTCTTATCACAGAGCACCGCGGAAGAGCATTTATTAGGAAGTTCACGCCTCTTTCCCAACCGATGTCGCAAAACTTGCCCAGACGTGGGGTTTGAACTACGGATCTTACGTTTCTGAGACAAGTGCAATTTATCATTAAAGGTCCGGGGAGGGGGTAAGTGGAACTGAAAAATTGGTAATTTTTTTATTTTTAAAAATGTTAAAAGTGTTTTTTAATTCTAAAACAATAATTTATTTGTGTAAAAACAGCAAAAAGGATTGTGTCCCCCCCTCCCTCCAAGCTCACTGCTGAAAGTGTAAAAATGAGATAAAGAAGAGAAAATATGTTGTAGAACTAAACATAAAATGCTTTTTATAAATCCATAAAGCATATTTACTTGCACAATTAAATACAATACAATATTATAATAAAGATTATCTTTTAAACAGGTCAAGCCAATACAGATTTCTTCTTTCAACATATTTCAACAGCTGGAGTGTGGCAACACCAGTTTGGTACAATCATTGATTTAAAAAAGTACTCTTTGATATTTGTAGTTGTCATGTAACAAGTTATGAGTAGTTCAAAAGCTTCATTGCAAACAATAAGATCTTAAAGAAAAATTGCATTAGCGTTGATATCTGGTGTCCTTCTTGGTCTAACAAATATGTCTCCCAGTTGTATATTTTATCACCTTCTCTTATTTCAATAATTTTATTTACACTGAAAATCGCAGAAGGCATACTAAGCAGGTTGATTAATAGTTAGAATGATTATATTCTGAATATCTATTGACTAGTGTTTAAGCAACTTAAGCTGGTACAGAACATGTTTTGGTCCTTCTATCTTACTCTGCTTAACTTTGATGATAAACCAGACAGGAAAACACACTCCTACAATATACTCTACAAGTTTCAGAAGATTTTGTACCTTATTGCTTTAAAGACCATGATGAGATTTCTACAGATTCTATTGGCTGTTGTTAGCCGTCTGACTATGTTAACACGGTCAATTTCAAAAAGTTCTATTAACTGAAGAACATGACCACTTTGTATAGCTATAAATACTTGATAGCCATAATACTAATCAGATTGGTTACTTCGTCAAGTAAGCTTCCAATAGGTCCACTCCATTTTTTACCGCTTATAGGTTCTCCTTCTATCAATTTAATTATATGTTTTAATGGTAACTCATTGGTATATAGAGCACAGACAATCTAAATTAACTTTCGCCCTAATTTTAGCTCTATTAAGTGCATCATTCAACCAGTGTTTACATTGGTTGGGAAGGAGAGTCTCCACAAATGATGTTAAGTGTGTGGTAATTTTTCTCATTTCAGTAAACTCAAAGGTTTTATCTGCTATAATTTCAGAATGTTTCTTTTCTGTTTCTTTAGCTGGTGTGAAATGAAATAAATACTTCCCATCACCAAAGCAAACAGTGTAATGTTCTTCTTTAACTTTAGCGGGGTACTGTCTGTCTAGTCCATCTACAGTTAAAAATGTTTTAGTCAGATCTTTTCGTCCATCAAAAAATATACAGTCTACAATCTGTTTATCGCAGTAATTATCAAACTGATTAGCAGCTTCATTCATAACTTTATCTTCTAGCTTTACTGAAACCAATTATTAATCTATTGTCATTTTTGGATAACGGGTGATGCGTAAGTTATCGGACAAAATAAAAACGTCAATAATTTATTTATAAATGAAAAAAAAAAAATTTTTGTTAAATTTTTTAAAAATGAAGTAGTTATCTTTTGATAAAAATTTTATTATTTTTTAAATAAAAAGTTTTTTTACTTTTTATTTAAAAAAATACCACCATCTGCAATTGATCTCAATTTTGCTCTGACTTTCATAAGCGACTGTAAAAAATTTAAATCAATTTCTTGTAGTTTTAATTTAATTTGATCAATCAAATCTTGCTCTGTTAAAGCTTGCCAATCTCCCTCGTAAACCTTCTGTGCCAAATGTTCCGAAAGGTTTTCAATTGGTCGTGCTTGAGGCACATTTGGTGGATTGGATTCTTTATCAACGTAATAGACGTATTGGTCCATCCAATTTAGAGAATTTTTAGAATAATGAAAACTTGCTAAATCTGGCCTAAATAAATAGTTAAAGTCTCCATTATACTTTTGAATGAATGGAAGAAGTTGTTTTTCTAAACATTTATCATTATAGATTGATGAATTAATCGCTACAGCCTTGGAAGTACGAAACAAAGAACTTACGAAACATGCACTCATCACTGAGCATCACCTGTGTCCACTGCTCTTCTGTCCAATCTTGATGCTTCTTGCAGAACTCAATGCGCTTTTTTCTTATCTTTTCAGTTACTAGTGGCTTTTTCAATGGTCTTTGTGCAGGTAAGTTTATTTCCGCCGAAAGTCTGTGACGGGTTGTGCGCTTTGAGACATTAGAAAGTGCTGGTATGCTGTTCTGTAAGTCACCAAGAGGTTATTGAAGGATTCATTTTGACCATTATTACCATCCTGAGGTCAGTACGCTGTGAAGTGACTTTAGGATGTCAAGACCTCTATTTAGGAGTCAGGGGGATAACCTGCTTTACAACACGCCAAATTGTAGTGCGTTCAACCATGTAAATTGTTGCAATGTCTGCATGAGACATACCACTTTTAGCAAGACGTTGAATGCATGTTTCTTCTTCTTTA